CATGGAAAAGCTCAGAACAGTTTGTCAACTTGGAAACACAGGCCCTGACAGCGTAGCAAGGTCACCCTGCCCTTCAATCCTGCTGATAGCCCAAGTTAACATCCTCCCATGCCTTGGCCTTCCCAGAACAAACATGGCTTTGGACGCCTTTGGAGGGTTGGGACTGGCTGCGTATTTTTCTGTAAAACTTAAGTTTTAGGAAAGAATTCTTTCCAGCTTTCCATCCTGAACCTGCTGGTCTCCAGGCTCGTTCCTGCAAATAGTTGACAGAGGAGTAAGAGCCACATTCCTGCTGGCTTTCCCACTCCTTCTACTCTCGTTTTCAAGTCAACCTCTTAAAACTCCTTAGTGACCTTGCAAGAAATTCATGTCTTTTGTCAGGGAGAATGGCGTGGCCTTTGTATGACACTTCCCTTTAGCCAGACTCGGATTTGGGGGCGTCATATTTGGGATGCCTGCACGGCTAACAGGAAAGGGCCCAGGACAGCTCACAGGTTCTCTCTGAACAGAAGCCTGTGAACACGTGGCTGTCATTTGAAAGCTGCATCTTCCCCCTGCACGTGTTTCTCTCAAGCTGTCCCTTGTCATTGGTGGCTGTGGTCTGTGCTTGAACCTGTTGCATTTATGGTGATGGACTAGCACTTCACTCTGTGCCACTGCCATCGAGCCCCCCTAATAGACACTGTCCCCAATGTCACTTGGGGATTGACACTCTTCACCTGTCACGGGAGAGGCAACCAAAAAGGAGCCTGAGGTTTTTCTACCTTTGTGAACCTGCTTCTAGCAAAGAAACTTCTTTCCTTGTGGCAAAAGATGAATATCCAAACACATTGTCCATGTCTATTTTGTGAGGGAGGGCATGTTCTCTTCCGGAGGGCTAAGAGCTGGAATGGGATCGAAATGGATTCTCCAGAACACTTTGTCGCACTTTTAAAGCCTAAAAACAAACATTTGCTTTCCTGATCATCTTCACTGTTTCTGTTTGGGAAATTGAGCGCATTCCTCTTCTATAATAAAGGTTAGGAACAGCCTGTGAGTTAGCAAAACTCCCAAAGGCTTAGGAAGAAAGTTATATTTCAATACCTACAGGAAGCATTTGCATGTATCTAAGCCTGGATTGTTCAAGGCCTTTGTGGGAGTCAGTTGTCAGGAATCTGTAGGAATGACTTTGTGAGGAATCATTGGAGGAGGGGCAGTACGCGGGATGGATCAGTATTTTCTCTGCAAACCTAATGAAACACGTCAGAGCCCACACCTACATGCGTGGGAACTGATAAGATGGAGATTGTGTCCGTTTCACTTGTTTGGGATGTCCGTGCTTTGAAAAAATTCTGTCGTCAAAGAGTAGGTTCCTTAGTTCGGCAAATCTGGCACCTGGAGATGGCATTTTGAATCGGACAACCGTTTTAGTAAGGGTCACTTGCTGTCGGATCATCCGAGGTGGTGCTGAGTCTTCATTTTGGTTCATCCAAATGGATATCATTTCAATTTAGCTCCCTGACTAAATCAACAATGGAAAAAAAAAATCTCCCTTTAATATTTCTCAGGCGAACACACGACAGCCCACACATTTCATTTTAGGCCACGTTAGGGCATCACCTCATGGCCAGACATAGCCTGGCCGAGAAAGCGGCAGAGCAGGTAGAGAGTCCATAGGAAGCCAGAGGCCTGTGAGAGACATCGGTGAGGAAATGGGCCACGTGCAAATCTTTGTGTCACATATTTGGGGAGCAGGTTTCCTGTACCCATGGACACGGAGTCTGAAGTCACTCAGTCTACGTGATTATCTGTGTGGCTTTGGATGAGCTGCTTTTGATCTCTGATACCAAGTAGGCTCTGTAAAAGGCAATACTGTCCCTGGCTCATAGAGCTAGGTGAGGGTTAGACGACAATGGTTACAAAGCTCTCCACACAGAGTCTGGCGAATTGTAACCTCTCAATAAATGCTAGTCATTGTCGCCACTTGAATAGTCCTTCTTGGCTGCAACTCACTGAAAAAGCTGGGCAGTTTGCAGAGCTGAGGTCTTTGGAGTAGACATCTCTGCTGTCTTCTGCTGCTTCCCATCATTTTGGTGGAAGTTGGCGTGTTCGTTGGTTAGCACTTATTCCAAATTGAATTGTATAATTTCATTATAGAAGTATCACGGTGGAAGAAGAGGGTGTCTTACTGGTGCGGTCACTGAGCCAGGGAGACCCATGAGCCTCATTCCTGTACAGGCTGCCTTACTTTATGAACTAATGGAATTCATGGCAAATGTGTCCCCTAAAAGATTGCTCTTGGACAGGGAGTAGGGAACACGTGGCCTTTTGGAGCAGTTTGCTTTCATTTGTGTTTCCAATCAGAGATTGAAGCTATAATTGTTTGTGAGGAATGGCTGTATCCCAGTCGCCAAGGTATGTGGAGATGACCTCTACACCGTTCTGGGAGAGTGGTTATACACTCTCCAGGGGGAGAGTTACTGGGAGACAGGGAAAGACAGGGCGTGGAGACGGCCATCCATTCCACCCGTGACATGAGGGCTCACCCCCTCATCTCCACCACAGCAGCTCTCTGATAAATGATTCTGTTCCCAGTGGTGTATTGAGAGAGTCACTGGATAAGGTGGCTGGCTTTGCATTTGGGAAGTGGTTGCTTTACCCAACAGACACCAGATGAGGAACAAAGGAAGTAGGCAGGGTTTGAAGAGGTACATGTCTTTCCTTTTAGCCAAACCTGCTCACTTCAGATCACCTCTTTGTCCTGGGATTTTAGTCGTGGAAACACTGCTCGCCTTCAGAAGAGCTGTTCTCCTTCCCTGCCCTTGGTGTTCCAAGCCTAATCTAACTTCTAGGGTGTGTTCCTTTCATACCTCTTACTTTTTGCATAAGTGGATGAATTCAGCCTTTGCTGTGCATTGTCCCTGTAAGAAAGCAATCTGAGAACATCTACTCTCTCGCAATCATTGAATATATAGATATGCCATGATATTGTGTCTACTTCTTATATATCTCACAGTTAAGTGCTTTAAGACAGGAATCTAGTCTTTCTTTTAAATAAGCATGCATTTTAAAATAGAAAAACCTGAAAACAAAACCTTGTGTAACATGTGTCCCTGTATTATATTAGAGTACTAACCAATGCATTACAAATATCAATATGTGGGTGTTTTTTTTTCTTTGCCATATATTGTTTATCAGAAACCTCTGTACCCTTTCCTTTAAAGGAGTCAATATTCATTTGTATTCTGTGCTGACAGCTATAAATTGATGGCTAGCAGTTATCAAATGAATGTTGATGAAAAGCAGCTACTTAACATTTTCATCCCAACAGAGTTGTGGAAGGATGGATAATTTAGATCTGAGCGCCTCAACTATAAACAAACAGCAAGTGCTTTCTAAATCCCACCTTTCTGTAGTTGAAGGTTGTGCTACCAATGTGACAAAGGATTTTTGAAAGAGAATGATGAATCCTTATTACCAAGATACTCTTAATCCCACACAAGAGTCTTGGGTAATTTTACATACACTATTCCAGATTGATTGCGCAGTTCTCCTCTGGCAGCTCACAAATGTTTGACTAGGTAGGAAATGGCGTTCGGGCATGATTAAAGATTCTACTGGGCTTCCCAGAAATTCTCAGTCCTGTGTCGTCAACACCTTAACTCATTGCCATTGCAGCGGGATAGACACACCTCCCCCATTTCCCGTGATTAGCTACAGTATACAATCTACAGATTTCTGATAAATGATTCTCAAAAAAAAAAAAAAAAAAAAAAAAATCTTTTAGGGGAACCCATAGCTCCAGCCAGTTGTTTGTACGTCAAGGTATTATTTTATCACAATGGATCAGTAAGCTATGGTGACAACTAGCAAGGCATTGCTTCAGATATTTTATAACGGAGTTGTTAACATTATTTCCTTTAGATGACTCTTTCGTCTTTTCTGCATTACGAACTGATGCCCCCAAAACTGGTATGAAAGTCATCTGATGGTGATTAAAGTGCGCCTTAAAAACTTTTTTTTAAATCGGTTTAAAAATGCTTTCCCTTGTATCGGCAGTACCGGCTTGTTTACTCTTGAGATTTCACTAATGTGGCTCAGTCTTGTTCTGATGATATGCAGACCGAAAAGCTGATGAGCCAAAAATGAGGACTTGTTACTAAACTGTCGCCACATCTGATCATATAAAGATGTCACTCAGAGGTTGCCATTGGTACGGCTGAAAAGAGAATTCTCCAAGAGACCAAAGGGGTGGCGTGCATGGGATCAACAAGATATTGTTACTGCTTAATTAATTGTCCAGCAAGGGAGGAAAGTGGAGTGAGTACCCATCAGCACGAAGCATGAATCTGAGAATGAGAATTTGCCAAAGGGAGACGATTGATTTTTGGAGTAGAGAAGGTGGTGGTTGCTGTCAGATGCCCCTCCTGTGTACTGTGTTCTGCAAAGCCAGGGCCACTTGTGATGGAATTTAGAGAGTAAATCACCCCAAGCCTAGAGGCAAAGGAATCAAAGCCATCTCCTGATAGAAAGTTAGGTTTTTCCAAAAGGTATGACTCTCAGCATTGTAACCAAATATAGGTTGGCATGAAATAAAACCAGTTGTAATTGCCTTCAGATTCCGTGGAAGGAAAAGGTAGGTCCCCAGCTCCCGCATCAACAGCATTCTGAATCAATGGGACTGCAGAATTTCTTTGCAAAAATACCATTCCAGTAATGCAAAAGTGCAATATGATATCATTACAGAAGGTCATAGTGGCAAAATATTTTATCAAGTTAGTAAGAATTCTGCATTTTGCTTTCCCAAGTGGACTGCTTTGGTCTTTCCTCACAATTGGCAGAACAGTCAAAGGCCAGTCTGTCATACGACTGAATGCTGAATAGTGTAACCATTGTGGCATAGGGGGTGGGAGGCGGACTTGAAATGAGTAAGCTGGATTCTCCCACCACTCAGGAGTTAATGGCAAGTCACTTGGCCACTCTGGTGGTTTTGGCAGCTGCAAAGTAAAATGGAAATCTATGACAGATATGTGGAAGTTGATGCAAAACACCATCTCCACCAGAACTCTGCTAAGATTCCAGACCAAATTGATATTTGGCTTGAGTTAGCTGGATGAGCATCTCAATTCTCCAGTTTGTCTGTAGAGGCACTTCTGCTTCCCTTTTCCCCACATGGGATGCAGTAGAGCCAGATAAACCACTTGAACTTGTTTTGATAAATGTGCCAGGTGCTAAGCTCAGGGTTATTAGGAATAATAATTCAGTGAAAGGAAATTTGGATGACATGAACTCATTTCCATTAGACTTGAGCCACACAAATCAATGGGAAAAGAAACAGCTGAATCCAGGATAGAATCCAGGATACTATCTGGCTATTTGGAGTGGGCATGGTAATGGAAGGAGATTGGGGAGGTAACAAACCAGTTGCTATTTAATTAAGTTCAAGTCAGGTCAAATTCAGGACCAATGGGGCTTGGCCAGTATCGTCAAGCACCCAGGTATTATCAAAACCCAAGTCTTTGTCTCACTCATGGGCCACACCCTTCCCAGAGATTTGACCAATTTTCAGACCAACTCAAATGTGACTACATACCCTGACACTGAAGAAGCTCAAACCAAACAACAAACCCAAGTCTTCCGTGTGGCACGTTCTTCACATCATAACACCTTTCTCAGGACCCTAGTTCTCAGAATGGACCTGGCTCTCCCAGGGATCCTAGAATGCAAGCACAGTGATTGCAAACTAAACCATTTGAGGGAAACTCCTCCAGTAAGCACCCTTCATGGTCACAATGTAAACCCTGCAGGGGCAGAAAAGAAGCTTTGGGTGGGGTCAGAAAGCCATTTCCTCCACAATCAAAGTTCCTTACTGTTGTCCTAGTAGGGGCAACCTTATCTTTAGTTACCTTTTCCGGTCCTCTCTTGCAAGCCCTCTCCCTATCAGCTGAAAATTAGTGGATGCAGCTAGAGCTGTGAAACACATAAATAATCATAAGATGCCAGATAAACTGTATTGGTTTTAAATTAGAGACGTGCCAACCATGTCTCCCTCTGAACAGCAGCCTATTATTTTTAATTATGGCTTGCAAAGTGATTTCTTGCCCTCTTTACAGCATCCCTGACAGTATTGTCAGTTTGGACGATATGATGCCCCAACAGTGCACACATCCCCAGCCACAGCCCCAACTGTTACTCAAAAGGTGAACAAAAGTGATCAGTTGCACTCTTTGCAACTTACATTCTGAAGTGGGCTGGAAAGAAATGTACCCCCTTACCCATGATCCCATTGTAAATCTGGGACAAATACGACATTTAGAAAAAGGTTTTCACGGTATCCAGATGAATTAATTAATGTGTTATGTATTTGTGCTAGGTGTGGATGTATGATGAGTATGTATGTGTGTGCATTAAATGTTTTAACACAGCATTGCACATCCTTCCCCTAGCAGCACCGTGGGCAAAGCATAAACGGATGATCTGGCACCAGCCCCAATTGGGTTTTCTACCTGATGGACCATAATTAAGAGTGGTTGATTTGTCAGAAGATTCTTCAAACGATGTGGTATCGAATTACATTATAGATACATGGAGAAGTCGAGGGGTTGGGTGAATTTGTTCTTGCACGTTCAGAAGGTACCATCTTTTTCTCTGCGTGGAAGAGGCGCCTGCCGCGACGTATTGATATGTGTATTTCTTTTCCAAGCCTGTTCCTATATGAGGTGTCAAAAGTCACACCAGCTTTACAAGCGGAGTTTATGAACTCGTTTTTCCAGGTTACTCACATTATGCTTTTTACCGTCATGTGCTTTCAGCCCAGTACGCTTCGCTATGCCAAGATCCAGCTGAAACCGAACCACATGGGGGAGGCTCGCTACTGCCCAGGCAGTTGAAATGATGTCGTTTCGTCGTTCCTTTTCTTACAACTTTGTCTTTCTTCTTGGATTTCCAGCAACAGGGAGCTGCCACCACCGTGTACTGTGCTGCTGCCCCAGAACTGGAGGGTCTGGGAGGGATGTATTTCAACAACTGCTGCCGCTGCATGCCCTCGCCAGAAGCACAGAGCGAAGAGACGGCCCGGGCCCTGTGGGCACTCAGTGAGAGGCTCATCCAAGAACGACTTGGCAGCCAGTCCGGCTGAGAGGAGCCCGGAGTGGATGGGCGCAGACACCCGCCCTGTGTGTGTCCGCTCACGCAAGTGCCAGAGCTGGGCCCCTTCCAAATGTCCCTCCAACACAGATCCGCAAGAGTGAAGGAAATAAGAGCAGTCACAACAGAGTGAAAAATGTTAAGTACCAATGGGAAGCAGGGAATTCCTGGGGGTAAAGTATCACTTTTCTGGGGCTGGGCTAGGCCTAAGGTCTCTTTGCTTTCTCATGGGGGCCTGTTTGAAAGTATAAAACCTGGTTGGTGTGTAGGTTCTGTATCTCCCTGGAGAAGCACCAGCAATTGTCTTTCTTTTACTGTTGAATAGCCTGAGGTCCCCTCGTCCCATCCAGCTAGCACCACGGCCACCACTGCAGCCCGGGGCTGGCTTTCTCCTACTTAGGGAGGAAAAAGTAACTGTTCACTGCTCCTTGCTGCATTGATCCAGGAGATAATCGTTTCATTCATCCTCACCAAGCCTGAGCCAGTTTAGCAACTGCTGGGGAGACAAATCCCAGAACCTTGTCCCAGCCAGCCAGGATGGCGGTGGCACCCAGACAGAGTAGAATATGCAGAGCTACCAGGTGGCAAAGTACTTGTCACAGACTCCCTCGCCACTGCTATACAAAAAATTATTTAAAGATGATAACAAATTTTTCAAATCATTCCTTAGATACCTTGAGACTCAGGAAGGGAAGCGTGTGTACTTAAGAATACACAGGATCTTTTGAGGGGCGGAGAATAAAAAGTTAATCCCTTTGTCCCTCAGTCACAGTCTCCGTTCTCTTGCTTTCACATTCTGCTGTGCCTCCCATCCTATGCTTAATAAAAGAACATGCTTGAATATGATCACCTGAAGTTTGTACTGTTTCTTTAAATGTTTCAGTTTTTTTGTTTTTGTTTTTGTTTTTTAGAAAAGAAATCTAGAGGAAAAATAAAGCGCTTCTCATAGACGCCAGGAAAACACGATTCTTGTTTCTTCTCTGAGTTTGTGTTTTGTTTTTGTGCTTTGTGGCTGTCCGTGGGCCAAGTTGTCTCACGCGATTAGCATGCCAGCATCGTATTTTCTGTTAAAGAAAGAAAAGAAAAATGACTATTGTTTCATTTCACCTTAAGATGTTTTGTTATTACTTACAGTGAGTTATTTTAGTCTTCAATAGTCTGCTCCCCTGTAATTAGCAAGTACTTAGTGATTAGTGGGCATTTCTATGTTTGAGAATGGGAGCTGTGCAGAGGCTCTTCTCTGCGCATCCCATCTCATGGACACCATGGTTTCCAGCCTGTTCCAGGAAGCACATGAGTCCACTCTGGCAAGATGGAGAAAATGCTTTTGCTGAAATACCAGGAAGGTGTGGAGGCTGGGTGTCATTGTTCCCCCTCCTGATAATGGCAGCTTCAGGCCATGTCATGAACTTCTGTGCCTTTGCATCTGTGGTGCACAGCAGTCAAACACACACACACCATTGCTCTCCAGTGGCCCATAGCCTGGCCACATCTTCCCACCTGGCTATGGTCTCCCTTACGTAATCCTTATTACCACAGGACCTTTGAAACTATGAATCAGATCATGCCACTTTTCAGACATTATTGTCATTTGCAAAAGCAGCCGTCAGAACTCCACTCCCAGTGTCTACACCTGGAGGGGATTACCTCTCCCATATGACCTCTGACTTTGGCCATGTGACTGGCTTTGGCCAATTTGGAAAGTGCTGTGCACTGGGGCTTGCCTTTCCTTGCTGCTCTTTGGAACCCTGCAACTTCCATCGTAGGAACAGCTCCAGGGCTACCCTGCTGGATGACGAGAGACATGTAGTGGCTCCCAGAACTGGCATCCAGCAGTTAGACATGTGAGTGAGGCCATCTCAGTCTATCCAGCCCCAGCTGTGCCAATTCAGAGAAGAAACTCCACAGTTAATTCATAGCACTGCAAAATATAGTAAACGTTTATTTTCAGCCACTAAGTTTCAGGATTACTTGTTACTCAGCAAAAGCTAACTGATATAGCTTCTCAGCACACTAAGTTTAATTTTTTTTTTTACCCTAATTCTCTTATAAAGTTCTCTTACAATTTGGTCTCCAGCTACCTCGCTAATCTCAACTTCCAGCACTTTCTCCTCATCTACTAGAAGCCGCTCTAGTCTTCCTGTGTTCCTCGAACATGCCAAGCACACTCCCAACTCAAGGGCTGCATATTTGCTGTTTACTCTGCTGAAACTCTTTCTTTCCGGAAACCAGAATGCCTTTCTTCCTCACTGATTTTTGGTCTCTGCTCACATGTTATCCCTGTCTTCATAGTGTCATCCCATTCCCATTCTACTCTTTTTTTCCCCACAACACTTAATATTATTGTACACATTATGTGTCTATTTTCTCTCTCTACCCCCTGTAAGAGACACTCCATGAAATTTGTCTGCTTTCTTCACAATTTGGCCACAGTACCTTGAACTGCTCCTGTCACATAGCAGACTTAATAACCACTGACAGAATGATTCTTGGTGACTAGGCTTTATGTTCATGAAAATAATTTCCATCATTGTGACAATGATCTCGAGCCACACACTGTGCTAAGCAGGCTACAATATTACCACTGTCACACAGGCTGGAGTGCAATGGCGTGATCTCGGCTCGCTGCAACCTCCACCTCCCGGGTTCACGCGATTCTCCTGCCTCAGCCTACCAAATAGCAGGGATTACAGTCACACACCATCACACCCGGCTAATTTTTTTGTATTTTTAGTAGAGACGGGGTTTCACTATGTTGGTCAGACTGGTCTGGAACTCCTCACCTCATGATCCGTCTGCCTCAGCCTCCCAAAGTGCTGGGATTACAGGCGTGAGCCACTGTACCTGGCTTTTTTTTTTTTTTTTTTTTTTTTTTGGTGAGATGGAGTCTCACTTTGTTGCCCAGGCTAGAGTGCAGTGGCATGATCTCAGCTCACTGCAACCTCCGCCTCCCAGGTTCAGGTCAGGCAATTATCCTGCCCCAGCCTTCAGAGTAGCTGGGATTATAGGTGCCCACCACCACACCTGGCTATCTTTGTATTTTTAGTCAAGATGGGGTTTGACCACGTTGGCCAGGCTGGTCTCGAACTTCTGCCCTCAGGTGATCCAAGCCGGCTGAGCCTGCTAAAGTGCTGGGATTACAGGTGTGAGCCACCACGCCCAGCCATTACATCTGATTTCTAATATGACTACAGTCTTGCCAGTTCACACCTTCTCTCTATTTTACTGATGAAAAATCTGAGGCCAAGAAGTGTCATACTTTGCTGTTGTCCATACAGCTCACAAATTGACAGAGCGGCAGTTCACACCCAGGAGTGTTTGATTTCAAGGTCATGCTGATTCCCTGAACCATTGCCAATGCTCCTTCCCTAAGTCCAAAATACCATTCTGGTAGGATGCACCACCTTTTTTTCTTTTAAATAGAGATGGTGTCCTGCTATGTTGACCAGGCTAGTCTGGAACTCCTGGCCTCAAGCAGTCCTCCCATTAGAGGCATGAATCACTGTCCCTGGCCATGGATGCGCCGTCTTAATGTCTTAGCCTGATCAGACAGCTGACTTTATGGGTCCGACTGTAGCTATGCGTCAAGCATTTGGTGGAAGTGAAAGTTAAGCCAGGAGAAAGACACTGGCATATCATCAGCCAAGGTGCTGTGCAAAGCATCAAAGAGAACCAAGAGAGGACATGCTGGCCCCCTGCCTCCTGGCCCTGTCTAGGGCCTCTATGCTGACTTCCTCCTCTGTGGATCCTGCAGGGTTCACACCCGCAGGCTGACAAGATGAGGCCTGGGGGAACTTTTAAGGATAGATAAGGATTCTCCCAGTCATATAGACCAAGTCTTCATACCAAGTGCTACATCCTGGAAATTCAAGATTGGGTAAACTACTCCACAGCCTCTGCTATAAAGGAATTTACATCTTGCATCTGTAGGAATCCTCACAAAGCACAAGGTCCTCATCAACTTTATCAGAAGTTCTCTAGGTTACTTGAAGATGAACTGAGGCCCTGTAACAGTAGCCATTGCTGCCTCGTGCCCATTTCTCCCTGAACCCACTCAGTCAGACACTGTTAGTCCCTGTGGCCATTTTCTCTTGCCAGACACATCAATCTTATTTCTTTGGCTATTTCTGTGATAAATTCCTGACAGGCGAGCAAGTGGATGGCATAATTCCTATCATTCCTACTTTAGCTTATCCTATGGCCAACCCTATTTCTCACCCTTTGTCATATGTGCACATCTGTATATGTATGTATACATGTCATGTGCACATCTATATATGGACATGTATGCATGCACAAATATGTGTGCCATACATGTAAACCCACAGGCATTATAGATGTATAACATATATACAGCACACGTACATATGCACATATATGTATTGCATATATATGTGTATATTCACATATATGTATACAGATGCTTCCTAACTCATGATGGTTTAACTGAAGATTTTTGAACTTTAAGATGATGTAAAAGTGATACTCATTCAGTAAAAACTGTGCTTTGAGTACCCATATAGCTATTGTTTCTTACTTTCAGTATGGCATTCAATAAATTACATGAGATATTCAACCCTCTAATAAAACATGCTGAGTGTTCAATGGTTGTGTTAAACGCCTTTGTCCAACTCCAGGTAAACTTAAGTTTTCTGAGCACATTTAAGGTAGGCTGGGCTAAGCTATGATGTTCAGTACATTAGGTGTATTAAATGCATTTTTGAGTTATGATATTTTCAACTTACGATGGGTTTATTAAGCGGTAACCCCATTATAAGTTGAGAAGCACCTGTGTACATGTATGTGTGTATTTGTAGTATATGATTTATATAATAATGATCCTACTCTATCATGTGCTACTTTTTTTTTTTTTTTTTTTTTTTTTGTTTTGCGATGGAGTCTCGCTCTGTCGCCCAGGGTGGAGTGCAGTGGCACGATCTTGGCTCACTGCCACATCCACCTCTGGGGTTCAAGCGATTCTCCTGCCTCAGCCTCCCAAGTAGCTGGGACTACAGGCACCTGCCACCATGCCTCATTAATTTTTATATTTTTAGGAGAGACAAGGTTTTGCCATGTTGGCCAGGCTGGTCTTGAACTCCTGCCCTCAGGTGATCCACCCGTCTGGGCATCCCAGACTGCTGGGATTACAGACATGAGCCACCGCACCCGGCATCATCTGCTACTTTTAACTGCAGATGCTATTTACTCAGCATCTACTCTGTGCCAGTTGATGGGTTAGGCACATAACTTTATGCTCACAGGACGAACATGAGTTTTAGAGAAAGAAAGTAACTCTCCACAGTCTCATAGCTGGTAGATAGCAGAGTCAGGATGTGAGCCAGCTCCACCTGCCTTGAAGCCCATGGGCCTTCCACTACACGCTACTTTTTTGTGTGGCCTATAGACCAGCAGCATATATATATTACATTTATATAATGGGTGAATTATCTGCAAGGGAAGACCAGTTGGATTTCCTATGTAAGAATGAGCTCTGGCTCTCCTCCTGATACCGAAATGTCTAGTATAAACCTTACAAATCATTTTTGTACATGCCACTTATCTAGCAATGTTGGCTTCAGCCTTGCCTACATTTCCCATACGCCCTCTCTCCTGTTCTGATTGTAAGTAGGTCTGCACCTTCTCGTGGAGTGAACCTCCCGAGTTATTCACGCTCACCCGATGCTGCAGAATCCACCCAGACAGGAAGAGTGGGCCAGCTTCTCTGCAGTTGTTTTCTTCCAAGTCCCTCTCTCTCCCTAAGTTTCTTTCAACCCCAAAGGCGGCCAGTTTCCACTTTCACACCTGATGAAGGGAGACCTTGCTGCAACTTACCAATAGGAAACAAG